TCCTTCTTTCCCCCAAGATAACCAGTTTTTAAGGCACTGAAGTCGAGGATAGAAGACTTGGCCCAGTCTTTTTAGCTTTTACTTCCCCAAATCCATTATGCTCTCAGAAGTCATGGAGGAGGGCTTCCTTTCCTGAGAGAGTTTTGGGAAATTTAGTGCAATTAGCTCACCAAGGAGCTATGCCATCTTTACTCATGGCCTAGTCACTTTCAGATATCATAAATCAATCTAAATAGCCCAACATTTAATAGTTAATGACAGACTTTATTGTTTTCTGAGCCCCCAGGAAGGCAATTGACTCTTGTTGCCTGAGCTAAGTTGTAAACAATTCAGGAGTGGAGAAAGCAGAGGCCAGCACCAGCCTGTAAATGTTACCTATTTAGTTGATTCAAGCAGGTTTCAAAATTCTAGTAAATATAATCATATCACTCAATTTTGGTTTGCAGTCTCATAATACTGATCTATTAATGGTATATTGTTCATTTTTTTACTCCAATTAATTTTTTTCTAATGTCTCATGATTCTATTCTACAATTTTCTTCCCCTCCTCCCCCCTACTTAGGAAGACTATCATGTCAAATTTTTTTTTTAAAAGGAGAAAATATTGTGATTTGAAACATAGGACATTTTATTTCACCAAAGAGTTTCTGATATCGTAACATAAGAGCTGTAGTTAAAGAACAGGTAGTTGAAATCAATCATTAAGTACCTACTGTGTGCAGTAGCCTTGTACTGGTGTTGAAATATTCACTAGCATTTCAAGCTGCATTATTGATTAGGAGCTGCCTCAAGACTGAAACTTAGTGTTTGCTGCCAGAGTTCTCAAAATCGCAATATATAAAACCATGTTCAGAGTCACCATGACGTCAATGAGTCCAGTGAGAAACACAAAGGCAAGCCAAAGGAAAATAAAGAAGATAGGAATTTGGATTGTGTCCATGACCAATTTAAAATACAGAAGCCTGCCTTTGGAGATAGTGAAATCCTTAGCATCATGTTGGAAATATTTTCAGAATGTTGTAGAATATAACACAAGGTAAATGAAATTCTGATTTTAAGTAGACTTAAACAGCAGGAGTACATTTCAGAGTGGAGGCTGTCAGGCTTTAGGATTTATAAATCAATAACTTAAAGAGAATAAGTAATTGAAGAACTATTGGGAGTTGTCACTTCTTTATTTTTGCTAAGTGTTGCTAGCACTATTCCCCTACTATGATTCTGTTGGGCAATGAGGTTCCCACACTAGATCTGAGCCATAATAAAGTTTATTAAACAAAGGATGCAGAAACATTTCAAAAGATACAACAAAATTTTTGTTTGTTTTTTATCACAATGTGGAAGTTACTGCTTGGCATCTCCCTCACACAAGAGCCCAGTTCTTCTCAGCCCCAGCATTCCCAGGATCAGCTTCTGCCTGGGGACCTGCCACCAGCATGTGCAGGAGACTGTGGTCTGGAGAGCCACCTCTGTGTCTTATACAAGCCATTACAGTATTCCCTTCTGTGCTTAGGCTGACACTCTTCTGCTGTCTGCAAGCCTTTCCTCTAAACCATACTCAAGCTTCTCCCTGACTTATACTAGGCTCCCTTGAGACTCGTACAAGTGCAAGAAAGTATTTTATCAGAGCTGGTGATATAATAGATTGTAGTTACTGCATTAAAAAAAACCTTTTATTATGGAAAATTTCAAGCATATCTTAAAGTAGAGCCTGTATAATGAACCATCATATAGTATCACACAGCTTCGACCATTATGAACTAATAGCCAGTCATTTTTTCTATACCTCCACCCATTTCCCCTACCCTAAATAACTGTGAAGCAAATCCCAAACATATAATTTCATCCATAAGCATCTCGATATATATATATGTGTGTGTGTGTGTGTGTGTGTGTGTGTGCGTGTGTGTGATATGGCTATGGACACTTAACTGAAGTATTACTAGGGTATTTTAAAACATTACATAAAAACATATATAAAAGCTATGGACACTTTAAATAAAATAACTGAATTATTACTAGGGTATTTTAATCATTAACCCCTTAATATCATCAAATATTTAGTAAATTTTAAATTTCTTTCATTGTTTTACAATGTACATATATATAAAAATTCATTTAAATATTTATGGATGTTTATATAATGGTTTATTTGTCTATTCAGTATCTATAAAGGTCTGACTTTTTTCTACTAGTTATCACCATCAGGATTTTCATGATGGCATCCATGTGGTTTTATTTTACATGTTTGTCTCTTGGATTTCTGTAAATTGAGAATCGATCCTAAGGCTGATCATTTTCATGTTTTGTTGCTTTTTTTGTTGTTGTTGCTTTTGGCAAGAATGTTTCATAGGTAGTGTTCTGTCATTCTATCGAAAGATACATAATATATGGTTCTCTTTCTCTTTCTCATTTATAAATATTTTTATGTCAACAGCCATTTAATACTTGGTCTAGAGCCTTTATCTAATTGAGAGTGCTGGTATTTTCTTACTTTTCATCTTACAAAGATGCAAGCAAATATTACCCAAGATCTGATTCCTGGAGCATTTTAAAGTTTTCATGTTGTTGTCCTTATATAGAGTCATCTGCCAAACTCTTTAGCAGTTGTTCACTGCAATGGAAAAGTGTGACCTCAAGTCTCTGTCACATACCAAGCAAGGATGATAAAAAGCAAACAAAACCATCATCTGAAATCATCATTTCATAAAATGAAAGGTTTCAACAGCA